CACTCTTAAGCTCCATAGTAAGTGACTGTTTGTCACTTGTGCCCACACCAGCCACTAGCTCTGTGAATGCAAGAACCACATCTGCCCCACTACTTCTGGTGCCCAGTTGAATGTGGTATTAGGTACATAGTGGGCATTTGAAAGACATTTGTTGAATAAGTTAGATAAAGTGAGGTGGGGGACTTGACATTCTCAGAGGCCTGTGGAGGAGCTATCATCCTCTTTTTCTAAAGAAAGGAGGTAGAGCAATAGTCATGTCATGTGACATTTCTCTTCTCTGTCTCTCAGTGAAGCCTGTAGTGACATTACATGAAGAGAGTCACAATCCTTTCCTGTCTCTTCCCTAGAGGCTCCATCCAAGGTGAACATTTTCCTGGCCTTCCACAAATCCCAACCACAGTTAGATTTTTAAAATATTTGCCTTAATAAATCTAAATAAGCCTGTATTATTTTTTTTAACTCCTGAAAGTTTCCTAACTGGTTTTTCCATTTCCACGTTTGCCCATTCCCTGGGTTTCCTACTTCTGTCATTTTCCTCACACTGCCAGAGCGAGCTGTTTTATCTATCCACCTGACCGTGTCACTCTCCTTTCTACTGTGGAAAATATTTAGCTGCTGTCTACAGCAATGGCTCTCATCCTTGGCTATTCAACAGAATCAAGTAAAAAGCTTTTAAATAAATACTGGTGAGTGGGGTCCATCTCAAGCCAACTGCATCTTAATCTCAGAGAGTGGGGTTTAAGCATCTGTGATTCTAATAAGTGACTTGTGTTGAAGACCACAGGATGCCATATGTAATTTTTCCAAGCCCAGTTCGTGTCCACTTCTCTGTCCCATCACCAGCCGCCTCATATCACACTCTATGTGCTCCAAGAATAAATACCACTTGCTTTTCATTCTCAGCCTCATGTACCCTCGGCCCATTCAGACTCCACACTGGGTTCACTCTGTTGCTCCCACTAAGACCCTCATATTTGCCTTCATTGCTCAGTTGACTCCATCTCATCTTTAGGGAAGCAGCTGAGGCATTATCTTTTCCCATGGACCCTTCCCCACAACTCATACTCTTCCAAGTCCAGATCCCAGATGTGTTCACACCTACTCTTTTGCGCTTATAAATGTCTTCATCATTGCACCTTACCACACTTTATTTAAATCATCTGTTCATATGTATGTTTCCCCCAATAGACTGTGATGCCCTAGAGAGTAAGGGTCTGGCCTCCAAGTCCGGAAGGTCAGAGACTACCAGTCAGGGACACCCAGAGGCCATGGCATGACTTAGAGCCAAAGCCATTTGTCTACAGAGGTGATGTTAGAGTAGGGAATCTGAGGAACATTTCTAAAACCCCTTTTCCCATTGGGATTTTCAAGCCCTACCACTGTAATGACTCTGGGTCTTTGTTAAGAAATGCAAAAGAGGCAAAATGAGTAATGGGAGTCCAGATGAGTACTAACAGATTCAGATTTCATGCATAACACTTGAAACAGGAGATAGTAAAGCAATCTAGAGAATTTCCTAATTTGGGCTCTAGTTGTGTCCTGGCTTTGGCCTCTGTCCTTGGAGTTGACAAAGAAGGGAGAGCAAAGATTGCGGAGAGTGTGTGTGTGTATGCGTATGTGTGTGTGCATGTGTCCTGTCTAGTTCACATTGATGAAGAGCCTCTCCTTGGTAAAGCTCTAGCCTGGCTTCTCTGAGCCCTCTTCTTGATGAGACCTGAAACTAGGCCTATAAAAACCACAGACTCTCATACAAATGATTTCATCCACCCCAACACACCTTTATATTATAATACTTGAACAAACACTTAAATAGTTTTTAATAGTTCAAAGGAGCATCCCTAGGATGAAGACTTCAGCCCCCTTAAGTTCCTGTCTGGGAAAGCTCCAGGCTGCCAAAAGAATTTACTGATTGTTCCAGCCAACACCTGACGATAGACCCTGTTCCCAGTCTCCATGGGAGGCTAGAAGTCAAACTTTGATAAGCAACAATGGGCAAACCCAGATGAGTTTCACATGGAACAACTCCTTTCTTTTAAGAAATTTCAGGTTCCCCAACTCTGCTCAAGCCCAGGCAATTCCCCATCCCTACTCCCTCGTTCACCCTTCAGAACATCCAGTCACCTCTGCACAAGTCCAAGTTGAGTTCAGTTCACGCAGGACCCTCTTCCCTATGGCAATAGTTTACCACAGATTAAAATCTACTCTTGCCACTTCAATCAGTGTCTGGCTTTATTTGCCTTTGGTAGTATTTTTTGGAATATATACTTGATATCTTAGTAGATCTGATTCCTGTGGTTGCTGTGGCACTTAGTAGGATGACTGTCCCCAGAAACAGGTCAGTGGACAACAGAAGGACAAAAATTGACCAAGGGATGGTTGGAGGACAATATGGCTCAGATGAAGGCATGAGGGGTAACACGTTTTAAAGAAAGATTATTATGAATACGGCAAATATTTGGATCCTCAGTTAAATATTTTTGGAGAAATATTCTTCATGGTAAGGATATTTAAAAAGAGGACTGTTCTGGTCCTGTAAACTTACTCTCTTGTGTTCTCTCTGTTCTGCTGAAAAAATATATACTGTTTTCCAAGTCATTTGTTTCTACCTATAAAATACACCATTTATGAAAATTAGTCTAATGAGTTTCTATGCGCAAGAAAATGTTAATTTAAGAAAATGTGTTATTTGATTTAGGACTATGACTTCATTCATATGATCCAAATTTCTTTGTTTATTCTTTAGCCATGTTCTGGCCTTTAACATTCGTTTCTTTGACAGTTATACAGGCAGTTTTATAATTTAATCATATGCCTTAAAGGTCCATAAAGAAAACTTAGGTTAAGACAATTAAATAAAACAGACAGTTGAGATACTCAATAAATTCACTTAGATCCATTCACTTAGCATCAATGCATAACACATTCCAAAAGCAAGCATATATCAAATTTAAAATGGATATTTTTAATTGGGTTCAAAAATTGGATAAATGGTCAAACAATTTTCATTGCATATGCTTTGGGGCATGCATTTCATTCCTTATTGATTGGCTTTATTGAATTAACATATCAATCATTTGTTTTGCTAGGAGTAGGGATGATAATTGCAGAAAGGAGCAGTGGTGGAGAATATGCCTCGCTGTTGCACAGAACACACGGGACAGGTCATGACACCAAACAGCTAACTCCCAGAGATACCTAAGTGGCACATTTTGGCACATGTGAGTAAGTATAATGTTTATTAATCTAAAAAAATGAGAATATTATAAAAATAGAAGAAATAGAAAACCCTAGACAAGTTAAAATACAGAAAAATTTTAAGCAAAATCTTTTGAATCAGGCAATATTTACTGTATCAAATAGCAATCTTGATAGCTGGATATAAAGTAATCTAAATCCAGGACACTAACCATGTCAAAAGGCAACAGGCATTCTGATCACCCCAGAATCCTTTGCCAGGGTTAGTATTCTCTGATTACACACTTAGGCACCCCCTGGTTACAAGATTACTTGTTTGTTATTGATATTATAAAAATAACCATTCTTTAAATGATTACACATGGTAAATAAAATTAGTACTATACATAAGGATTTGAATAATTGCAATTTTCTTAAGGACCACTTGCAACCTCTGCCTGTTTCACAGACCTGTAGGAGAGAAACAAAACAAAACAAAATAAAATGTGCTTAATGACATGTCTATGATGTAGCATATTAAAAAAAGATGTATGAACTTTATCCATTCATCTATTAATGGACAGTTAGGTTGTTTCTGTTTCTTGGCTATTATAAATAATGCTGCAATCGACATGGGGGTGCATAAGTTTTTTGAGACATTTTTGTTTGTAACCATTTAGACAGTATTGTGCAGATGTAAATATATAATTGAGTGTTTATGTGTCAGACATAACAAAAATAAATTATATTTAATATACTGTTTTGTGACTCACTTTTTTATGTAAAAATAGTATAAGAATTTTTCAACATCAGGATATATATAGATATAGATGATAGATAGATGATAGATAGATAGATAGATAGATAGATAGATAGATAGATAGATAGATAGATCCAGTTAATATTAGTATAAATACATGTATATGTCCAGTTAACATATGTCTCATCCTTCATAAGAGACACACTATTTTTCATTATATAGATTGCTATAATCAATCCTCTTTTGTTAATCATTAGGTTATTTTTCATTTTTCACATGTTTTGCATATTTTATTATAAAACAGTTCCCATGTTTTCTTATAAAACATGTGCAATGAACATAATATTCTGATAACTACAGAGTGTGCATTGCACAAATTGTTTTTCAGGTGATTTATCAATATAGAATTATTGGGTCAGTGAGCAATTGGAGCAGAACAAAACTGAATGAGCTGCCAAAGGAGGTAGCATAGTTCTCATTCTATACAGAGACTGGGGGACCATTCAGTAGGGGTTGTGCAGAGAATCAGGCAGTGTTCTATTGGAAGAGAAGTAGATGGCTCTATCGTCTTTCTAATTTTGATAAGCTGTGACTCTGAGTGCAAAGAACAAACTCAACCTTTGCTTCTCTCTGTGACATACTTGAGAGAAGATACTGTGAACTGTTCATCTTTATATATTCAGTTCACAGCCTCATGTCCATGGATCTGAAATTGTTTTGAGATGCTGTATCTCCAGGAGATATTTAATGGCGCCATAGAGTCCCTGGTCTGCACGTGGGGGAATCTGTTTTCATCTCACATATATTTAGAGGTGATTTACTTGCCAAGAAGAAGGGGTTCAAAACCCCAGTCCCAGGTCCTCAGTGAATACAGACTCAGTGAGGAGCCTGAGGTCCATGGAATATCACGAAAAGAAGGAAACTTTGTGCAGAATACTTGGAGGCAAGTCTTTTTCTCATTATAGATCCTGAAGACATCTATTTTTAAAAACCTGAACTTTGAGCAGTTGTAGGACAGTACCCAAAATTACCTGACATTGATATTAAGTGCCCTGAGCAAACATACCAGAGTAGACGAGAGTAGGACAAGAAGAGCACGGAACACAAAGGAGAAGGTCAGTAGAACCTGCACAATGAAAGAAAGAGAGATAACATGCTGGACCAGGAAACAGGTCTATTAAACAGAATTCCCCAGGGGTATAACCAACTTCTAGTAAAGGTTAATTGAAATTAATATCAAAACTACATTTATACTATAGAGTGAGCTGCAATTATATATGTTAACTGTCTAATAGTGGTTGTACTTTCACTTCATAATTGGGTCATTTTCAATTTAAACTTTTGTTGATTTTTAAATAAAACCCAGTGCAAAATGCCCCTCTGGATAGTGTTATGAATACACATGTGGGTTGCAGGTAGACACTATCTAAATCCAAGTCATAATTCTTATGTTCAGCATGGGTTAGCAGGAAAGTGATACATTACAGACTCTCACCTTAACATAGCTTATTCAGGATTGGATATATACATGCCACAGTACTGTGATGCTATGATATTTGTAATTTCATGTCATCATCACAAAGTTATTATGAGATTTACATGAAGTAGTGCATATACATACATATACACTATATCTATAACATTGTTTGCTAAATGTAACTTCCCTGAACACATCCCTGAGTCAGGAAAGCAATGTCTAAGTTTAAAATCATGAGCAAATAAAAGAGAATAAAAGCTGATGAAATAAAGGAATCAATAAACACAAAATATATTAAAGTCTCTTAAAAGCCCTACAATTTTGAAAAAACAAAACTATTTAACCTGATATTTATCAAAGTGATTTGATAATAGACTTTTATGTAACACACTTTTTAAAATTCTATAGACATCCATTGGTAGGTACTGCTTCTTATATAGGTGACCTTAAACCAGTTAGTATTGCTCAGGATCCTCCACTGAGGATGGTTATCTGGGAAATGCCTTTGGAAGTCTCAATAAGTAATGGGCATTTGACAGTTTTACAGTATTCAAACTTAGATAAATAGGAACTACAAAGAACATTTGGATTGAAGGTGGTGATTGTATATGGAAAGTGGGTATAAAGCTGGAGAACTTGGTATATTTTTAGAAATCTTACACATGAAAGGATTTTGGAATAAAAAAATGATGCATTCACATTTGGGTGTTCCTTACCACCCAAAGATATTAAAGGTGCTGGCAAGAGACCAGTTGAATTACTGCTCTATATTAGTGGTTTTCAAATTTTAAGGGTATCAGAATCGCCTGGAGAGCTTTTTAAAGCACAGATGCCATGGGCTCCCCTATTAGAGTTTCTGACTTAAGTAAGTGTGGGGTGGAGCCCAAGGAAACTGTACTTCTACAAGTTCCCAAGATACTGCTGGTTTATGGATGACACCTTGAGTATTAATGTTCTATGTAGCATAGTATTTAGGGTGAAAGATGAAGCCAGCTGTGGCCTGACATACTTGAAGAAAAAGGAGTAGCGAAGTGTCAGGGTACCAAACGAAACCAAAGTGTAGGGTTAGTAGGAAATAGAGAATCTTAAGGGCTGGAGATTTGGGACAGAGAGTAAATTATCATCATCTAAAATTTTAGAGTTATCTAAAATATATCATATTTGACAAGGAAAAAAATACATTGCCATAAAAAACCGCTAAATTTGAGAGAGCCAAGGAATGATAATGGTAGGACATTGGATAAGTCACCCAACTGGCAGTTAAAATGTCCTAATAAGAGTTGTGGTAGAGAGAAAAACAATGAAACGAATGTAAGCACTCCACATGAAAGAACAGAAGTGATGTTAGGATTATAGTGACAAGGACAGAAACGGGATAGCAGGACAAATAATATGAGCCTAAAAAAAACACAAGAATTTCAAGTAGACTGTTAATGCTTTCTCATGGTGCAAGCACCATATCAAGACACATGACAATTGAAAGAAAGAGCAGCTTCCCTGGTGAAGGCTAAAAGGGAAGCCATGTCTTCTAGAAGAACCCATTTCAAATAAGGCAAAAAAAAGGGGGGGGGGTCTGGAGAGTGTTCTTTAAATAGCATTGAAGGACAATTGGTTTGCAAATCAAATTCCAGTTGCACAGTCACCAGGGAAAGTTCTGGGAAATATATCAATGGTGGTTAAGAATACAAAACATGAGATGATTGTATTTTGACAGGGCAGTGGGGCAAGGCAGAGTGGCCAAGGGTAACAGGAATAAAAGACAGATCTAACGGAGCTCAAGTTTCTGACTTGAACTTGGGCATAACATTATTCTTATATGGCAGCTTATGTGTCCAGCCTCACGTGGCTTCCCTCTGGGAAGCAGGGCTAAATAGAAGGGGACAGCCCTTTATTTCCCAGGCTCCTGGAAATGTGAGCAGTGAAGCAACTTTGTCGGGGGGAAGACAAAGCAAGTGAGAGAGGAGCCGTGAACTCCAGTAATAAAGGTCGTTTGTTTGCACATTAGAACCCTCTTCTTTCCTTCTCCAATGCTGTAGGTACAGGCTTATTTGGTGACAAACAGCAACACAGCCCACCCGAGGCAACACATCACAAATGCGTGAGCAGGGACTGATGTAGTCTGCGTTAAAGCACCATGCTCACTGCAACTGAGCCACCGTTACACAGAGGCGTGACACCGGGAACATCTGAACCGTCGCTGAGCATATCACGTGTGGCTGTGTGTACCAATAAACCACTTATTACATAACTTCGTCCATGTTTCTAATCATGGCTTCCCCAAACAATCAGAAGATGGGGACATGGCTCTTCACTTCTCCAGCGATCTTCAAATGTCACTTTGCCAATTTGAACTAAATTTAATCATTCATTCATTCAATTAATTTAGTAAATATTATTAAGTAAACAGTGAATGCATAAATATTTATGAAATAAATGTGTATTAAAGACTTACAATGTAAAATATGAATATTAAGCCTAAATTTTCCCTAGTAAGTTAATTTTTGGAATTAAATATGTGGAAGCAATTAATAAATTATAAAGCCTATATAACTAGTGGAAACTTTCTTAAAATTATTTTGAATGTTAACAAATGGATAATCCTTTCTGTCCTGATATGAAGGAGAAAGTCACATAGAATTTATATTTAGGAATATTAAAAAAAACTAAGTTTTTGGTCTGAAGAATGTTTAATTACACTAAAGTTGATATAGAGTTTTAGGATATTTAGTCAATATTTCATAACAAGTCATTTTGAAGAAATTTGGCAGCATGCATTGAACAGTTGTTCTATTTTAAATAGCTTACTATGGGATTGAAAACATGCTTAATGTAATCACTAAATGTTATTTATTTTATTCTGTCAAAATTTTAATTTTTGTGTTTATCAAATATGCCTCCTTTAATTTTCTGGATGACTTTGCCTGTAGATAATAATTTGGAGCACAGTGTAAATACAACTAAATCAAGTTGAAGTTATATTAAAAGCAGATTTCCAACCCAAATGTATTACTGCTTGTTTCTTTATATGTCGCTTTTCCTGTTTTCATGTTTCATAGTATTTTCTTTATGATACAAACTCTTTCCATGCTCAGTGAAGTAATTCCTCTCTTGATACTATCTATATGCACAGTCTCCCCACCTTCCCTCTTCTTTTAGCTTCTAGAGAAGGGATGACATTTCGAAGTGGAACATTTGACCTCGGATTAAGTTAGAATGTAAATTGCACTTATTAATTGTGTATCCTTGGGAAAGGATATTTAACAAACCTGAGATTGTAAAATCAGAGTACTATCACTCACACATTAAGTTGTCACAGGGATAAAAGGAGACACTAAAAAAACTTAATAAATGTCAGTCTTCTCCCATTTCCTCCTCTTTTAGAGACACATGTGTTTCTATATATAACCTTAAAATGTCAATTACTCATAATAGGCTTTAAGGGGAAGTGGAATTCTATAATTCTAAATATAGCCCCCACATTGACTTTGTAGTTCTGTTTTATATTAGGCTATGGGATGATTTTCCCAATTTATTATTAAATTAATATCTATTAGAATATATGCTAATTCTCTCTCTGTGAGAAAGGCTTATTATACCACATTTTTGAAGTTCTGTGCTTAGAACATTGATTTTCCCCCCCTTTTAGTTTAAGAAAGGTAAGTACTTAAGTCTGAAGTAGGAGGAAAGAGGAGAATGAAATAATAAGGTAGGTTGGGATCAGTGACAGAGTGGCGGCAGGTGCCCCAGTTGGAAGGCGTGAGATGAGCTCATACAGCCTGGAGGCTGTGAGAGCACCGCATGCAATGGTGATATCACCCATGAGCCTGCCCAGGGGAGAGGTCACTCTTTTTGCCCCAAATTAGGAATAAATAATCTTCTCTCCTCTGAAGTGCCACGGTATACTAGAGGCAACAAGCTGAATGCAAAAGCCATAGAATAATTAAGAAAAATGAGCTTCGGCTTTACAAATGAAAAGATAAATTTTTCCTAGTAAGTAAAAGGCAGAAAGTATTTTGCAGAGGATGTTGGAGGAAGGCATTCTCCTTCATTCTCATGTAGTTTAATGTACCTGATAGTTAAAATCTGGGAACTGAGCAAACATAGGTTCACGAGTGTGAGCCCTTTCTCTGCAAGCACTAGCCTGAGGACCACAGGGAAGCAGCAGGAACTTCACTGAGTCTCCTGACTCCCAGGTTTCCCCCCCTCTACCATAGCTTCTAGAAAAGGAAGTTAGCCTCACACTGACATAATTAAATGATATGTGTATGCTCACACATAAAAGTGAGTCCATTAATTAACTACAGTGAGAACCTAACAACTGTCTGGGAACCAATTCCAAGCAGGAGCAAGAACACAATGTCATTAATAAAAACCTTAGCAAAGGTAAGTAGGAACCTAATAAGAAGTGAGAGACTGAAGTCCTTATGGGATAGAAGATAAACTAAATATTATCATTAACCTTTTTACATAAATATAATCTATATTACATGTTATATGCTAAGTGAAAAAGTAAGAACTTAGAATTAACTAATATTTACCAAGCACATGCTATGTATCTGACACTATGTTTGGCACATATGAAAGCAATAAAAAAAATAAGTCTTTTATTACCCTATAAAAACAAAATGCAATAATCTGAAAATGTGTTA